GTCTCTTGCATCCTCTGCGCTTGCCGCGCCCGGAAGAGCTCCGCCTCGTACACCGTCCGTGGCTTCATCTGCTTCACATGAGACCCCATGGTATGGTACTAGAGGGCGTCCTTGTCATGACGATCGTCTTCGCGCGCTTCCGCTGCCCGGATATTTAGCTGTCGAAGCTGCTTCGCGCGCTTCAGCTGTCCCGAAATCGAGACGTGCTCAAAGGCTCTATTATGTGCGTCTTTGACGCACTAAAAATTGTACCCCGGATAAGTGCGTCGTACTTAATTTATACAAAATCAAGTATAATGTCCATCATGTGACAGCACTTCACAGGGACTGCTAAATCGCACTTCACAGGACATGCTCTGCGCGATGCGATTGGCCGAGACCAATGGAACTGCGTTTCATTTGTCAGAAAATCTGGAATTATGACCAATGGGTTGGCCGGATTGAGACACGACACGCCAAATTAATCCCCTGGGATGCTGGTACACCACGTAAACGTTCCTACCAGGATAATGCAGCATACCTACAATGACGCTTTGTCACACTCAGTAGACGGGAGTAGAAAGTACACCAATTCTCGACAAGCTCGAGTCGCTGCGTGTACGCACATGTGCGAGCGAGATTCGTACATTGTGCAACACAGGACCACCTTGCTGCGATTTCGCAACTGCAATGCTGTCGAAAGGATTTGCTAAGGGCAGATGTCGCACAGGAACGACGACACGTAGCTTCGTGCGTATAATTGTGCTTACTGCGTGCCATCGGAACGGCAAAGACCTTGAAGAAGTTGCGCTGGTAGACTCTGCATTCCGTCAGGTGCTGTCATTACCGTTTGCTGCTACGCCCGCTGCCCCGGCATCATTGTGACTCACAAGGCTACTTAACGTCGTTGAGGGTGCTTCGATGTTCTTCGTGTGAAAGTGCGTCTCGTTTTGGCTGCTTGGTGGGTAGTAGAAACCGTGGACGGAACACTCGAACAAACGAGGTTGCATCTCTGCTGTGCCAGAATATGCGAAGAGGTGTTTGCTTCATGCGTACACACTGTTGAAAAACGTCAAGCAGTCGTTCTCGCCTCGCGGGCTGGAATATGCATGCGACAACGAGTCGGTTCCGCATCTAGAAAGTATGCAAGTATGCCATGCCAGAGCGGGCGGACCGCGCGGCTAGTCGGGTGCTATCTGGTTGAAAAGATGTGTCCCGCCAAAAATGACCCATCGGATTGGCTCGCGCTCCGTACGGCGTCAATTGATTGGTTCTTTTTAGGATCCGCGGATTGGCTGTATTGTCCTTCGCTGTGATTGGTCAAAATGAGGTCCAGGTCAGTTGCCATCCGCGAGCCATGTCCGGAGGTGTCCAAGTCGAGACCCTGGCTGCATTGCGCGACTTCCTCGACGTCGTGCTGCTTTCGCTCGAAGCAACCCCTCCCGTACCTCTCTCGGCGCAGACGACGACGACCCTCCTCGAGAAGCTCAAGATGACGTCCAAGAAGCTCAAGACGTCCGAATCGACGGCGCTGCCCGCGCCAAGCAAGCTCACAGCCTTTGACGCGTACACGTACCTGACTGCGCAGTCGTACCACGGACACGTGGCCACGACGCACAAGGCTCCGACGCATGCAGCGCTGAACTCGTGGCACGGAAAGGCGGCGACGAAGCACAAGCCTGCGAAGGTCCAAGGAACCACGACGTACAAGCCATACGCGGCGCCGATGCACCACGGACATGCAGCAGCACCAACCAAGACACCCACATATCCGGCGAGCAAGCACGGACAAGCGAAACCAGCGTACAAGCCCGCCGCGCTGCAACAGGAAACCACGACGGCGACAGGCGACGTTGCCGTGCTCTTGAAGCGGCTCGATGCACTCGAAGCGAGCAACGCGGCTCTGAAGGCGACGGTGGTGGAGCTGGAAGGCAAGCTCGAGGAGCACGTCGAGCGTGTGACTGAGATCACGAACGACCAAGAGTCGACGAACGAGCAGGTCGAACACAAGCTACACGCGCTCGATATGACGGTCAAAAGCCACACCAAATTGACGCAGATCCAGGAGAGCAAGATCCAGACGATGAGCAAGACGCTCAAAGAGCACACGACCGTCATCAACTGCGTCAAGTACCGCAAGTGACTCGATCGCGTAGCTCGCTTGTCGCAGCACGCGGCCTAGCTCTATTTACTTTCTATAATTTTCAACGTAGCTGATCGTCCTTTTGAGAGATCGAGGCACATGGTGCTTCTACATGGACATAGAACTTGCCTTTCGTCGATCTCACAACCACGAGCTTGGCGCCGCGGCCTCATGAAGAGAAGATAGACATCGTCGATTCGTTGTTTAAATAGATAGGACAGCTGCAATGTTCACGCAACGTGCTTCTGGATGGGACTCATGGGCGGCTGCCACCGAGCGTGACCCGTCAAGGCAATCGGGCTCGAGACGGGACGGCTACGCTTGTTGTACGCGACGTGCTTGGTTGCAAACCGAATTGGGCTCGGCGGGCAGCGTTGGTAGACGTTGTTAGTCGAGATGGGCGGCTTGGGGCTCGACCGAGGCTCTAGGTCCTCCGTGTTGGCTGTCGTCGTGTCGGACGAGATGGATTCGCTCCGGTCGCGCTTCGGCGACTCGAGCGTCGGCGATGGTAGCACCGCGTCGTCGTAGCACCGGTACTCGACGGAGGGATCAAGCGCCGAGTTCGACGGCGTGCGCTTCTTGGAAAAGGACAACCAAGTGGGCAGTGTTGGCATCGTTGTGCGATGGATGGCAAATTCGAAAGTGACGCTGTGGCACACCAAAACTTGGCCGCTCCACCTCACCACAATCAAGAATCTAGCACTTCCGGCGGTGGCTTCATCACACCGCATGGCAGTTGTATCACTCGGCGAGCGCCAATCTCGGCAATCTGGGGATGCTTGCGGAGTGTACCTTAAGGGTGGGCGACGCCAGCTGGCTCTGACGGCTGCTAAGGACGAGCTCCGGCCACTCGGTCGCACAAGGAGCTTTGCCCGGTGCTTGCGGTGCGAGCCCGGCGGGTACGCACTAGCTCCGAACTGGGTACCACACGATTGGTCGACGCTCGGGTCGTCATCCTATCATACACTGCACGTTCAATGCTGCACGTTGCTCGTTCTATTATGGTTTGTGCGCTCACAAACATGCCCGTGTCACGGCATGTATCTGGTCGGGGACCCTGACGCAAACGACGGCTGTAAATACATGTAGCGACGACTGCGCGGGGACCCATCGGTACCGGTACGTCAACCCCACGTCAAACTCATGGACGTATTTGGTGACAAATCCTCCCGTTAATCCACCCACTTGGATGGTACCCAATGGAGCCGCCAGAATCGTTTAGTCGAAGTTTTCGTCGTGGTGCACATCCTGGGGATGGATGTGAATGTTCAAAGTTTGGTCGCAAAGATGTGCAGACGCTGGATGCTCCGTGTTTATAGACAGCGGCAAACCCAGTGCTGTCTGGCTCTGGCATCTCGAGTTCTGCAAAGTTGCGAATAGTGCGGTAGAAGTACCGGTAGTCGAGAAGTGATGCAGTGAGCACACTCACAACCGTCCATCTACAGAGTATATACGGTAGGTTCCGTACAGTGTACTGTGCCGAGACCTACTGTTGTCAAGCGATATACACTTGGCAGTCTCTGTTTGCAACGGCTTTTTTTGTTGGGGTGTTGGCGTACAGTGTACTCGGTTGTCGTTGGCATCCACCCACAAGCAACGCCAAGATTGTCCGTCTCATCTTGACAAGTATCAACAACAACAACCGTTCCGACATACTTGTACTACCGATCAATAGCATAATAGTACGCATTTCTTTCGTGCTGTAAGACTTTTATGTCTCTATTAATCACAACTAAAGTGTGGCCGCCGGCGGTCGAGGCCGGCCACGCGACGTCGTTAGAGGCAAGTGGCCCATTTCGAGGAGCGCGTTGTCGCCCGCCTTCGCCGCCTTGTTGGCACTGCACCCAGCGTACTTGGCAAGATGCACGAGCTGCCGGACCCAAACGCCGACGACCGCGAGAGTGATGAGCGACACGGCAGTGTACGAGAGGACGAGCTGCGTTTGAATCGTAATGCGCATGTTCAGACCGGCGCCAATACCGTAGAGGACCAGTAGGAAACCTTCGACGCCGAGCGTAGCGTGCAAATGCACTCGGCTCGGAAACGGACGCCGGTGCAAGATAAGGAGGACGAAGAGACCGTGGACAACCATAAGCGCAAGCAGTTGCGAGACGCCGTCAAGTGTGAGTGCGGCGACGATGCCGGCGACGACAGTTTCGAGAATGAAGACTGCGCCGATGAAGCAGCGGCGGTCGTACTGCATGTTGGCGTACAAAACGCCAAAGACGATGCGGACGCGCCACTTGGCGAGAGCGATGCGCGACTGCCGGTGCAGCCACCGAAGGAGAACGACAGAGCTGAGAAGCAATAGCAGCAGTGTCGCAACGGCAAGGAGGCCGTTCGTTGACGACCACAGCGACGTCGAACCGTCCTGGAGGAGCTCAACGACGGCGATGTAGATGAGCGGCAGCACGGCCAAGAATCCGATGACAACAAGAAGCCCGAGACACTGGTGCGAGAGCGTCCGCAGTTGCACGTAGCGCGAATGAGCGCTCGCGCTCTCAGAGTCGTATCCGACGGCAGCGCGCGATGCCACGTACGCCCACGCCCCCGATGAAGCGATAACCAGCAGCAGAAGTGCAATCACACAGAGCACCGTGGCCATCAAGCGCACAAACCAATCTTGCTCGCGGACGCCGGACCGCAGCGCAAACTGAACAAAGCCAGAGGGGTCGTACGACGTGAGGCCGCGACCCAAAACTGCAGTGGACACGGCAGTCGACGTTGACGGCGCGGTCGTGGCTGAGAGTGATGGCACGAGGAAAATACTCCAGCTGAAGTTGTCCAGAAACCGGATGTAGACGAGTTGCGGGCGGTTGTTATTCTTGGTGAGCGCGAGAACTGCCACATGCTGGAGCGCGCTCAAAAAAAGCGGGAGCTCCCATGAGTTGGGCTGCCATAGCGCCTCAGTATACGCATCTGGCGCGACGGACTCGGGGTGGATCGCCTGAAAGTGGAAAAAGCCGAGCAATAGCACGGTCGTCCCAAGCACCGCCGAGATGAGCGGACTCAGCCACGGCATATCATTGTTGCCGATCGAGGTCTCCGCTGTAAGCGCTGCGAGTGCATGTGCGTCCACCTTGGCCATTCTTGAGCGACTGAGCAAATCGCTGTGCTCATTGCGCGGCACCGTGCTGTCAGCAACCGTTGCTGGTGGCATTGTTGTGCCAAGGTCACTGAGTTGGGACAACTGGTCGACGACCGCCGGTGCAGCAGTAACGACAGAAGGTACAGACGGCGAAGAGCTGGTTTGCAGCAAGAGAGTATCCAATGTATCAGACAACGGCGTGGTCGTCGACGGTACGAGCGTCGACGCCGTCAACAGCGTATCGAGAATGGGGGACACCGTTGCTGGCAGCGGACTCGGTGCCACGAGCGAAATCTCGGTGGGGACTGGGCTCAACATGCTTGAACTTGGCGTTGACGTAGCAGTCGGTGCGGGTGGAGGTGACGCATTCGGAACGGCATTCGTCGACGGCGCGGTCGTGACTGGATCCGTCGCCGGCAATCGCGACGGCACAGAAGATGTTCGTTGCGGTTGCAACGTAGTAACCGGCGCCGAGCTCGGCACCGCAGTCGACTGTGCTGGCAACGTCGTCGGCTCCGACGTCGGCGTCGCACTCGATGGCGTTGTCGTGGACTGCGCTGGCAACGTCGTTGGTGCTACGCTCGACGGCGTCGTTGTCGACTGTGCTGGCAACGTCGTCGGTCCCGACGTTGGCGTCTCACTCGGTGGCGGCGTCGTCGACTGGCTTGGCACCGTCGTCGGCTCCGACATCGGCGTCGCACTCGATGGCGTGGACTGCGCTGGCAACGTCGTTGGTGCTACGCTCGACGGCGTCGTTGTCGACTGTGCTGGCAACGTCGTCGGCTCCGACGTCGGCGTCGCACTCGATGGCGTTGTCGTGGACTGCGCTGGCAACGTCGTTGGCGCTACGCTCGACGGCGTCGTTGTCGACTGGCTGGGCAGCGGCGTTGGCCCCGACGTTGGCGTCTCACTCGGTGGCGTCGTTGTCGACTGGCTGGGCAGCGGCGCTGACCCCGAGTTGGCGTCTCACTCGGTGGCGGCGTCGTCGACTGGCTTGGCACCGTCGTCGGCTCAGACGTCGGCGTCGCACTCGATGGCGTTG